GCTGACAGTGAAGGTTTCGGTTTGCTGGCTTTTTCAAGGCTTGGGATCCGACTACCAGGTTCGAGGTTTAGGGCTTAGGGTTTGGGGGTTGAGCGCTTAGGGTTTACTGCCGCAACTGGGAAAAAGCAGGCGAGGGCTTAGGGTTTGGGGCTTGGGGTTTATAAGGCAAAAGGCTTTCAGGTACTGGTACGTATAGTGGCCATAAGAATGGAGGGGGTTCCTGTATGAATGGTTGTATAAGGGATGCTGCAAGGGTTTCGTGTAGGGGTCTTAATGCTTAGAAGGGTTTCTGACACTACAACCGAGCCATAAGGGAAATAGTAGTCCTGTTCCTGTTCATCATTGGACAGTAGAGCCCTATTCGGGTGTGTCCCAACGGAGTCGCAATACTGAGTATTCAGACCCCTATATCACTGCAACGGTTTTGTAGGGTGGTACATACAGGGTTTCGAGAAAGTTTTCCAACACTTTCTCAAGGTTGTTTGTGGGCATTCGGTCATTGCTGGCGGGATAGACCTTTTTGGAGAGCACACGTCGCGAGTCGCGACACAATGGCAATCGATTGTGGATTGCCGTGCTGGAAGAGCTTCAGGGCTTTTGGTGTCGCAGAAAATCCAAATCCCAACACATCAAGCCTACGTGCCTCATCATGTCCACACGCGGGATGAAAGCACGCCAACTATGGAGCCGTCACTGGCATATCCGCCGTAGATCACAGGAGCCACGGCAATTTCGTCGGTGAAGTTGAAAAAGAAATGCTTCTGGAGTTGTTCATTCATGATTTTGGTAAGCGCTAGAATCTGCTTCTGGTCGCCGATCTCCTCCAGATCCTCCTCCTCCTCCTCCTCGTCCTCCTCCTCCTCAGGATCAAGATCATTGAATCCTTTCTTGAGTTTGCCCGTCATGTTTAACGTCTCCACATATGCTGTCGCCCACACGCCAATCAGCTCTGGATCTGCATCAGTTTTCTCATTGATGGTCTCGTCTTCGCACATCTTGCGGATGCGTAATGCCTTGAGACATGCCTTCCTGGGATCGGGACCAGGATTGCCTATGACTATGATCTCACCACCATCGCTGCTTTCACTGGAAAGGCAAATTGGGATGTCCTGAAGACCAGGCGCAGCAATTTCCATGTCTTCTGCAATGTCTCTTGCAGCTGTAGGTGCATCGGCCATGTCGGCGTGCATCTTGAAATCTTCCTCTTCATCCACCAAGCACTCATCAAACATCCCCCCACACATCCAGCCGTCCCTCCGCTCGGCAAGCTGGGTCCAGAAGCAGGGGTCCGAGAGGTATAGGATGGGTGCTCGGTTCATTGGTGCGTTGGGCACAACAGCCCCACTCGCGAGGTCACGAGCCGGACGCCTGGCACGCCCTGCACTGCAGCCCAGGGCAAAACGCGCAGTGCCGCCAGCGGACGTGCAAGACCAGAAGCATGCAGATCCTCTTCCGACCAGAGGCCTCCCAGGTCCAGCGGTACTGCCACCAATGCCGTCTTGCATGTGGCGAGGATGGCTGAGACCTCCACTCGGACTGCGGGGGAGGCTCAAGCCGCTTCGGCTGACGCAGCTCATCGCTCTCTGGAGCATTGTGCGACCGCTTGCTCTTGCTGCGAGGATAGAGTCTTCGAGATTCAGGATGTACTGCTCGTGCTGAGATTTTGCTGCGTCTAGGATCGTCTTAGAGTCTAGGATTCTTGGATCATGGGGCCATTCCAGCGCTGGGGGCAATAGAAGGTACGAACATGATGTTGTGCATCTTGGCCATGCGGGAGTGAAGCGGTGAAGCTTGCTTCCTCAGAACCGAAAACCCTGAAACCATCAGTCGTTCTGCTATAGAATGAAGCTGTTAATGCTACTAATACTGATCATACTAATAACAGTAACACTTGATATAGTATCACTCTATATATGTATATATTAATCAAAAGAAGGTGGAAGCTTTGAGCCGGCTTTCGACGTGGGGACGTGGGGCCTCTCCGTTCCAGGACGACCAACGCATATGCTCGCGCAAGTTGAATCAGCACCTATTTTTTGGGGAGGGGGTATATGATAAGTGATGATACAATTACTCTTGCTATAATACCCCCCCAGACCTGCTAGAAGAGCACAATGAAAAACATAGAACATATTTCACGAAACTTGCGATGATGCACGGTCATGATGGGATTGCTTGGTGACGTTGGGGTCCACTGCGGCACTTCGATCAAAGCTGTTCCACCTCTGTCAACCGCATCCTCAACCTGCCGCTGGAACTTCTCTCCGTCTGTTGCTGAAGGCGCATGCGCCTTGGGCAAGAACCTAACCCTGAGTTCCAGAGTCGAGCAGAATTCCTGGCTCGGAAGCGCCCCTGCCTGACCCCACTTTGCAGCCAGCACACCCCCATGCAGGCGAGCGCGCTAATGCGCCAAGAGGTCTCTTTTGGCTACTGTGAGCCCAAAAGCCATCGGCCCTGTCATCATGCCGAAATGGAGGGGGAGTATCGGGGCATGTTTCGGGACGTTAGCCGCGTCCCGCTCGGGTTCTGTATTGACATGCCCGAAGTGAGTAGCGCAAGGATGTAGCGGCTTGAGTTCGGTCTCGTGTAGGGTCTTGTGTGTTGGGCTTCTCTGGCATCAAGCCTGCAGATCGAAGACATGCTATGTCACCTGAAGACCAGGATGTGCGTCATGAATCTGTCTGCCTGACAACTTCCTTGCGCTGAAGGTCCAACTCCTCAACACCTTCACAACAAAAGATACAAACAGTTGCACCGTATGCGCCTGTGTAGCTAATGAGCTACGACCAGAAATCCCAATCAGGACTTCCCTCTTTTGCAAGGGGAACATGCCGTGAACAAGCAGACGAACGCATTCACTTGTGCAGCGCGCAATCAAACCGGCCTCATGGGCAGACAAAACACAATCACAAGAGTTTGCGAGAAATAAAAGTCTGTATAAATTGAAGTAGATTGAGAACTCAACTACATGAAAGTCTCCTTTCGCCAGCGCTGCCCTGCTGCGTACACTCATGCGCATGAAAGATTGGGCCAAATCCGTTTCTGGATCGCGGCGGGAGAATCAGGCGAATGGCAGCACTGCACATGATGCTTTGGCTTTAGCCACGCAGGGTCTCCGCGCCCTTGTAGTTTGGAAAGGCAGTCAGGAAAGCACCAACTCCGCGATTCCTCAGTGCACCAGGAACAGCTTAGCATAGCTGCTTTGAGAACATCGCAACTGCCTCAGCAAGAAGGAAAGCATTTCCCTAAACTTGAGTTGTAGATGGCATGTGGCTACAGCTCCTTCACCCGGACGCGTAGAGGAGAGCATGCAGCGAATGTGTACATAAATCCTACCTGTTTGCAGCGGTGCAGAAATTTCAGATTCAACCAATGGACTGGACAAACAAAAACACACACACACACACACCATAAACAGTACGCTCACCCGCACACCTATTTGTCAGTCTACCTGTGTATGTAAAATCTACGCATGCATGCATAAATACCTATGCGCATCTGTACAGGCATGTCGAAATATGTACCATGCCTTTCTTGAACTACTTGCTCATTTCTTGATTTCTTGACATATGCATACATGTTCCCCCAAACCCTAAAGACTAAATACATGTGAGTGTTTCCGAAAAGAGGGGACCCTAATATAGTACCCTAAATAATAGGATCCCTATTCTAAGGACCCCAAGATAAGGTACCCTAATCTCCCATGTATATGCAGACACACTGCAGGCTCGGTTAGTGCCTTAGAAAGCAGCCCAGTATCCACTGCAGCGACTCAGCAGCCTGGGCTTGCATTCAGCTATCTCATAAGATAATATGACATACTTGAATATACAGTTTGAGTACAACTTGAATACACGTAAGATCGCCTGAAATGTTATGTAGCATACTAAGTTGGAAGCAAACAGCAATGGAACTGTAGGGTTTTGTTGTCACCTGCCAAGCTTGGGGTTGAGAGTACCCTGAATCTACAAAGCTTTCCACCTGGGTCGGCCGAATTCCATAGCTTGCAGAATGTAATGCTCGAAAGCCTGAAACAAGAATCCCTTATCCACGAATACAAGTATTATCTTCGGAGTTCCACTAGATCTGCCTGGTGCATTGCTGCTGCTCAGCCATGCGGGTGTATCATCTCAGGAATTACGTCTAGTGAAGGACTGTTGGAGTCTCAAGGTCTAGGCGATAGAGTTTCAGCGACGTTCGGGTAAGCCTAGCATAGGTAAAAAACTCTTAGGTGCAAGCACACAAAGCTTCGTTTCAATAATTGTGTCTATTCAGAGCCTCCGCCCTGGAGCAAGCTCGTGTCTCGACCGTGGAACTCCGGGCCCGCACCTCGACCCCGCAACTAACTTCAAGTCTGGTCGCCAGCCGTCGCTTCTCCGAGTCGGTAGCCGGGGGCTGCACAAGCCCGACTGTGAAAGCGTCACTACCTGAAGTTGCAAACCAATTCCACAGATGTTGCCCCCAAACCTTGATGGTGGGTATGCGTGGCACCTAGCTTGCGCAAATTGACGCCCGATTCTTCACCGGAACGACATCGGCTAAATTGACATTCGACCAGGCCAAACGTGGTTCAACTGTTGAATCTTTCTAACTGTGCACCACGGCACAGTTGTTTGTGTTCGCGAACTGTTGCGAGCTTCTTTGCCGCCCAACGTCCCACAAAATGGAGTCCAAGGTTTGTTGCAACCATTATCAACCGCTCAGCATTTCAAATCCTCGAACATACATCCAACTCCCGAAGCACTTGGACACAAAGTAACCCAGTGCAAGCAGCAGAAGCCACACGACCGACGGCCCGCATCTAAGTTCCCGGTCGTAAATTGGAATCGCAAAATACATGGCTAGGAAATGAACAACCCAACAAAAGCCCAGCTTGTTTCGACTCGCACAACTAATTTAAAGGGGCAGCTTGCTTATGTGGTTTCGGGCCTAAAGGCTTGCCACTGCTATAGATTCCCCCGAGGAGCTGGCATAGCAATGCCAGCAGAGCAACCAGCAGGCTACCGATAGTCCACGGCGGCTGCCAGCCCTCGCAGCAACAAAAGGTTAATTCATTTCCTCCTGCACTCGGCCAGACCCAAGAACAAATGCAAGGTTTCGACTGCCGCATCTTTTGTCTCACCGATTCGGTTGATTGAAATTCAAGATGACTCCTTGTCTTCTGTGGTCTAGCTGTGGTGTCGCATTCCGTCGAGGTGGCAGCTCTGAGGCAAGTGGAGAGAAGCTTGCCAAAAAAAACAGACAAGCGGCCACCATATTCAGTTTACGTATACTACACACAATCACCCTTTCATGAAAACTTCTGCTGATTCTACTGGAGTCTCTGAGCCCTGTCTTGGCAGGAGTTCCGCGTTGTTGTTGCCGAAGAGGTAGATGATGTGGCCGGCAGTGTGGGTGGAGCGGGGAGGGTTTATTACCTTAATATACTAAATAGCCCGAGGTAGTCCTCAAGTAGGTACTGTTTGTATACTCGGAGTCTTAGGGCTATAGAGGTTCGATAAGCGCCTTGCGTGTTTCGGAATTTTGGGCCTTAGAGGTCCAGGCTGGATAGCTTGCGGGGAGAGAGGGGGGGGGATTTAGTTGGAGTTTGGTTGCCTACTATAGAGATGTACCAGAATTCCTTGGATCCACCCGGAAACAAGTTTTCGTGGCCTGAACGAGGGTTTTTCGGCTCCCTACGGCTGCCCGCGCGTAGACTGCGTAAACAACAGCTAGGGTGGCCGCAACAAGCTGGGATCAGGACGTAGATGCGTTGAAAGTGAGGCGTCATGATGCGTCATGACGCATCGCACAGCCCCTAATCCCGCCATGGGTAGACAAGCGGATGCCAACCACCGTAGAGCCGGGTCGTTAGGATTGAACCAGTCATGAAGAAGTGCCAGGTGTGCAACATGCTGCGACCCTCCAAGACTCATCACTGGTCCAAAATCCAGCTCTACCGTTCTAGGTCTTTCTGGTGAGTGTCCTATAGATATGATAGTATGTTCACGATCACCCACCTCTGGATGGTAGTCCAGCTGCGTTCGGCAGAGCCAAGTGTCGACCTGCTAGTGCCTACCCATAGGCCCCATAGTATTTCTTTGTTGGGATTACCTTGTAGGGTTCTATATATGAACCCAAAAGGGAACTACTTCAGGGCCTATGGGTACTTGCACAGGCGGCATGCATGTGGCTTGTGTCACAGCTCCGCTTGTAGACAATGGCGTCAGGTTGGGTTTTCGGGTCTTGCGCTGGAAGTGCTGATGCACTCAAAGGTTGTGCTGCCCGACTGATAGCTGTTCCGAGGACATGGCAACATCGTAGAAGCTACTATGCAACACCCGTGGAATACAGGTCTCTGAAGCCTTTTGCTTCCTCACATCATTCATGCCGACCTTGTTTGGGGGTTCGGCCCGAAACCGAAACCTTCAAGCCTACCACCACCTCCCGCTGATCCGCGACTCCGTAGCTCCAAGCTGTCACAGGCCTGGAATCTGCCGTTGGGAGTGCGAAACCGCACCAATGGTGGCTCGAATGGATACTCCTGCAGCGGCCCATTTGATGCTCTTAATGGTCCCAATGCATTGAGGGATGCTGTAAAATCAACCCGCAGGTTTAAACCCAAAGACTCCAATAGCCCTTAATTAAGGAATTTACCTTAAATTATAGTAGGATCCTAATATGACTTAAGGTATATACCTTAATTAAGGGGTATTGGAGCCTCTGGGAACCATGCACATGCAAATTGAGAACCAGAAAACCGAGGCAACTCAGTTAGCAGGGATCAACCCACCACGGGCTCTCCAAAAGCTCTTCCTGCATTCTATAACCTATATTATCACTACATCTCACAAAAAACGTTATGTCGTTGTTCATATAAGATATTTATTATCGGTTACATATTAGGAATTTTATAGTACTTGGTGTATATATTCTACAACATGTTATATACGATGTGATAGGGGCACATAGAGGCTGAAGAGGTCGAGGTTCGTCCTTCAGCATCTCAATCTGCCCCCAATACACACCGCCGGCATACGATGTGTCTGGTGGCCCTTGGCTGAACAAGGGAACTCGGAAATTGCCGGGCAATTGCCTGCTTGCTTGTTATGTTTGTTTTCTCTCGTGCTTTCTTTGCCCCCCACCCGCTCGCTCGCTCGCTCGCTCGCTTGCTCTCTCTCACTCTCTCTCTCTCTCTCCCTCTCTCCCTTTCCCTCGTCCCTAAGCCCTGTCCTCTGTTGACTGTCCGTTTCGGCTTCTGTCGGATTCACGCTTGCTCGTGTGGGCATCCAAGACTGCGGTTCAACTGCTCCGCTTGCAGTCTGAACTCAGAACTAACAGCTTCAGGAAGGTAGAAGGTCATACAAAGGAGCACCCCGGACAGCTTACACACCATGTCACATCTACAGATAGAGGACCGTAAAGGATTACACCTGACCTGAGTGCCTCGGACAACGTGAACACTATGCCAAGCCGCAGTACCGGTTTGGCGTCCCTCTCTCTCCCGCACACGTGCATCTATTCATTCATTGCAGGATCCTTCCTTCCATCCCTCCATCCTCAGACAGACACACAGACAGACAGACCGACAAAGGACGACCCACAACCAGGCATAAACCCCTCCCAGTCTCACACATCCTCCCTTCACGAATGCCTTCGCGTGCACGCATGCCTACATAGCATACACGCATGCACGCAGACATACCCGCATACTTATATACATAAACACATGCGCAACGCCCTGCCTTCGGACCTACCTGCACCTACTGACCGACCTGCCTACCCACTACCTACCGACCGACCGACAGACATTGTTTGACTGTGTGATGCTACTTGCCGTCACAGGCCAACAGCAAAGGATTTTGTGCTGGAGGTCCTGCACCCGAACCCCCCGAAAGTCAACACCACGACCTGTGCCCCGGCAGGCCTTCGATCACGAAGTGCCATTTGGAGATGGCGGAATCCGGGCCTGGAGGCTTCATGGCTTCTGTCTGCAGGCGCCTGGAGTCACTAGGCCCAACTTCAGGGTTTGTCATCTAGACCTCCACTTCGACAAACGCCCCNNCCCCCCCCCCCCCCCTCCCACAAAAAAAGCAACGCCGCCCTCGATTCTCAATGAAGCAAACGTTTTGCACTTCCAGTTTCGAGCTGGGCTTGGGAGGACTCTAGCGAGACCAACTCAGGCCTACTATTGAGCCTTAGATAACAGGAAGGTTCCAAGTTTTCTTCAGAATAAAAGCGGCGACGAAGTCAAGCGCCACCCAGGTAAAACTCACAAAAAGCTGCAGCTTCGAAACAGATCACCTCTGCTGGGGTTTAGGGTTTAAGGTTTGTGGAATACTTGCGTTTGCTTCGGATTGCTCTGCTGAGGTTTCATTGAGCTGTCAGTTTTCGGAGTTGTCAGCCTCGGATCATTGACGCGCCTGGCCACACATACTTGTCTTGGCGGGCGGATGTTGAAGTTGTTCATGCTACGGCTGCCTCTGGAGTTTTAAACCCTAAGCCCAGTGACATTTTTGGTGTAACTCGATCCCGACAGGTAGATGACAGCACACATCCCAAAGCTGCCCTTGCTAAATTATCTGTTCCTCCCGGAACAGCAGCTAAATCCCAAACCACTTGTTAAGGAACACTCCCCTCAACCAAAGCAATATTCCTGAATTAAGGGACTTTGGAAGATCTGGGAACCCTAAATCTGTCTCAAACCGCTACAACCCCGATCTTTGGTCCGGAAAAGTTTCTGCACAGCGGCAGCTCACCCGAATGAATGGCGGAGGGTCCTGGCTCCATAAACAAATCTCTAAGGCCACGGTTTAGGGTTTTTTAAGTGCACTAGCTTTAGGGTGACTCTAAGGAGTTTGGAGTTGGGATATATTTTTCCCTCTCAGCATTCGAAGCCTGTTAGGGTTCGTTTCCCTCTCGCACGGCTAAGGGAATTTTCTCTGCAAGCGAGTTTCCTATGATTATGTTTTCACATAGCCTTGCACACACCCATCTTCAGAATCGAACGACTCTGTAGAAGTAGGGGTTGGAGGGGTTAGGGTTTGAAGGTGGGCAAATTCAAGGATCGAACACATCGGGGTTTGTCAATTTGTGCCCAGGGTTCCGGTCGCCCTGCCAATTCCCACACAGCTACGTATGATCTCGTCCTCTTTTTACCGGACATTGCAACAGGGAATGTGCGCGGGTGTGACTTGCGTCGCAATTCACGGTCCCTCGTAAATACCGACTACAAAAGTGTTGAGGTTCAGCAAAACAAAAGAGCAAACCCTTCTTGAAGGCCCAAGTTCTTGCTCAGCCTGCCTCACCACCGAATCCTATAACCCTAAACTCACTTTACAGCTCAAAACTCTGCGAGGTGGATCAACCGAACTATCAATCCACGCATGGTGTGGACTCCCCAGACTGGCTAAATTTTTACGGGGTGATCACATGTGATCGCGTGTTATTCCGTATCCAAATTCAACAACTACTGGCAGCAACATTTCGACTCATGCTTCTGTCCTTGGTCATCACCTCCAGTTCCCGACGCAAGCGTTGCACCGCGCCCTTGGACGGGGCACCACGGGGCCTGCGGAAGGGGTACAGCTGAGGGTTGAGCCACTCATGTTTTCTCCACAAAAGCTTTTTTGCCTCCTCTACTTCTCAGACTCTTGCATTCAAAATTCAGAAAGTTCGCCTTGTGTCCAGGGGGTGCCCAAAGCTTTGGGTGCTCACCCACGCGCCAAGGGCACATTGGATTGAAATGTGACGCGTGCAGCTTGAGGGCAATGGCGTCTTGTGCCATTTGGCGGAGGTGGCCCCTGATGTGCTGCCGGTGCGTGATGTGTGTGAGTGTGGTGGGCTCTAAAGTATAACTAGATTGCTCCTGTCTCCGTGCTTGCATCCCTTGCTTAGTATCCTGGCGAGGGATCGCCAGGAGAACAGCTTTGGATCAATGATGCGGGCTGTCTTGCCAAGTGTTCCATCCAACCTGCCGGATTGAGTATATCTTGCTCTTTCTGGTTGGGGGAGCGGGCCTGCGGAGAGCTGGGAGATGAGGGGGCCGCATTTGGCCCCTTAAGCCTTCGGGCCGGAGGGCTCGCTGTGTTGTAACAGGGCCGAGCGCACCCTGGTCGACCGCGCACACACACACACACACAAAATTCGGAAAATTCTCAACAACAGGTCCTTGTACCCTGAAATGAAAAGTATAGTCCCTACACAGGTACTGTGTGGTCAATGCATACTAGTTACCATTTGTGCACGTGGACCCTTACGGGGAAAACTACAGGTCTTTGGTTCTGGAATGAGGACGGCAGCTTTGATCGCACATGGAGGAGATCACAAGGCTGGAGCCCAAGGCGTCAAAAGCCAAATCACGAGTTGCAGGTTGTTTAGGGTCTGCGGGCACTGCTTGTCGCGATTCCAGTCCTACTTCTTATCATAAGACTGTCTACACCGCTAAGATGGCCATAAGGGCAAATCTGATACGAGAGGCTCCCGATAGCTCTGCCCTACCAAGGCTTGAAGGTATCTCGAAGTTACAACTTTCTTGTTGCTGTCGATGTCAGGCTGTTTCTCCTATGCCGCTGGTGTTCACACACACGTCTTGTTTGGCTTCTGATTTCGACAAGGCCCTTGGGTTTTTGATTGGTCAGCAAATTAACTAGAGGGGCCTGGGTGGTCACAAAAACCCTCCCATAAGGCCCCTTAACAAAGTTTGTGCCAATCATCTACAGTAAACCCCCGGAAAGATGGAAATATGACTAAGGACAACTCGGGCCAAGATTCCCTCTACATTACGACTAAGGATTGGGCTATTGGGTGTCCAACTATGGGGCTGGTAAGGGAATCCCAAACTGCTATTCAAACAATCAAAGCCCCTACACCAAGCACTCGTAGCATTTGTTTATGGAAGCCCTTGTTAGAGCCCTTTAAAGAACCCTTAGAAACCCGTCCCCAAACTTAAGACTCGTAGCATTTGTTTATGGAAGCCCTTGTCAGAGCCCTTTAAAGAACCCTTAGAAACCGGTCCCTTGATTAGGTCCCTTGGTTATGCTTGACGAGAGCCCCAGGGCCTCTTCACCAGATCCATGTCCACTGCAGCAGGACCGGCCCAGGAATTGTAGTTATCGAGTACCTGAACATGTGTGTATATATGCATGCGTATATATATATATATATATTTTTGTTTTTCATTTGTTTATACATGTGTGTGAAGGCTCTTTGTCCCCAGGTTGCAGTCAGAATTACCAGATTTGGCCGAGCCACCTGAACATGTGTTTTCCAAACTACCTAGCAACGACAAGCCTTTTGAGTTTAGGGTTTAGGGCTTCAGGTGAAGGTCTAGTTTTAGCATGGGTTCCGGAAGGGTCAGTTGTAGCAGGATACTGAAAATGAAGCTTAGGCGCTATCGGGTTTTTCCCTCCTACTTAGCACTCTAAAATTACTAATGCACTATAGCATATTATAACATATTCTAGTATATTATTTTTGAAAAATGCCACAAACATACTGGAGTTGAAGTAGCAGATGCAAGTTGGCTTCTGCCGAGGACCCGGCTGCACTGTGAGGAATGTACCTCAGCAAGTCCGTGAGACAGAGGGTTCAGCATCATGGTTTATAAGGCTTTTAGGGTTTAAGGTTCCGGGTTCAGGGTTTAGGGTTAAGGATTAGTCAGGATTAGTCCTTCTCACACCATGCTGACTCCTTGCCATCCACATGCTGACACACATCGCGGCAAGCTAAGCCGACGTGCTTGTCGTACCCTCTCTCTTCGACAGAACCGGGTTGATGCTGGGCAAGGGTCAAACGGGACCAGGCTTCAAATGTCGCGCCCGGCCCGTAAGACAAAACCGAACGGCAATTAAACGCATACATGTGTATATATGTATATGCGTGTGTGCACATACGTATATGTGAAAATTTGTGAATATATATATATACACACAAAACTGCATAAACATAGTCATACAAAATCAAGGTATTTGGGTATACAAATAAACACACACACACACATATATATATATATATGTATGCATGTATATATATATATATATATATGTATATGTGTATGGTATGACCTTCGGTTATGCTTTGGGCCCTCCAGGAGCGGACGGGTG